TCCTGTTTCGTAACAGAAAGTCATATTTTGATTTGAAACCTCATAACATTTTCCTGAGATGTTGATTTATGACACACAGTTTAAAAATTAGTCAGATTTAAATGGTAATTACAAAATATTATCATATTTCCATAAGAGTGTCACTAAATTAATATCAGACATTTTTGAAGTCCAAGGAGAGGGAGTGGTCATGGTCAAACATCCAAACATTTAGTATCTCTGAAAAGTACAGGACATCCAGACTTAAAACTGTGGCATGTATAGTCTCAGAGAAATCCACTAAAATATAATGTCCTCATATGAGGATGCAGGGTCTCAGGAGTATAGTACAGTTTGATTAAGAAATTGAATAACATCATCTCTGTCATGACTGTTTGCATGTTGGTGTTTTGACATTTAAATATCTCTCTGCTCGTTTTCCTTGTATGCAAATATTCGGAACTAAAAGTTTTACATTGGCATACTAACATATCTGTCGAATGCAGTGTCAGACGCAGCAGACATGTCAAGCAGTTTGAGGACGGATGATCTTGAGATACTTCTCAACAGTTGCAGTGTTACCCAAACCTGCTTAAATGTGGTAGACATGTTTCTTGTGTACCTACAGTTTTAAAATCATGTCATAAAATTAAAAATTAACCACAGAACACTGTATTGTGCCATAGCTTGTGCCAAGAATGTAATCAGACCCCTTGATTTTTTCACTTTTTGCAGCTTCATGCTAAAATTAGTTATTTTCATAACCAATCATCATCATTCTACACTCCTTTCCCTATAATGCGGTATGGAGTATAGACTGAAACAAACAAACAAAAATTCTACTTTAAAACATTTTAGCATTAGGCATCATAAGAAAATGTGTTTAAAAAATGAAGGGGTTTGAATAGTTTATGAATGCATTTTATATTGTAGCTATATTGTACAAAGCAACTTAAATTGCATCAGTGGTATACATTTTATCAGTTTATGCATTGGCTGGAATCAAACCCATGTTGATGCCATTGCTAGTGCCATGTTGTACTGTTTGAGCTACACTGTACAGGAACACTAGTTAATATGTACTGGCAATATTTTTGTGTTGCTACTGGACTCAACAGACCCACACATCAACTCAGCATTTTAAACTTGGCTTTATTGCTAAATTTAAATAAAAACAGTGCATTTACAATTTTGTATTAGAATCCATTATTTTGAAATTAAACACTCAATGAAACATGCAATTTAAATAAATGTACAGTATAGAAAAAGGGTAGGTTATTACCTGTCTTCTGATTTACTATGAATAGCATAAGGGAAATACTTAGCATTGCGCATCTGTACAGTGAATATAGTGAAAGTCTCTAAAGTTCGAGATTGAAATGTTATTTTTGAACCTCACTCATTTTTATATTGTATAGACAAAACAGTTGTCTGATAATTGTTCAAAAAATATTATCATTTGTGTTCTGCAGAAGAAAGTAAGTCACACAGATTTGGAACAAAGGAAATGATGGCAAAGTATCCAAAATCGCCCCATACCCTGATTCACTATTCCCAACATTAGTCCAGCGAGTAAATGAAAATGAGTGGTGAATTCTGACAGTGACGTTGCATTCAGATATGTAGTATGTACTATATAGTAAGCGAAAAACAGTATTTGGACGTTTTATTTTGTTTGAAATTATGTGACAGGAGTTTGATTTCACTTGAAATATATTGGGGCCTTCCCAGCGCATTACATGTATTCTCTAGCCATTGAGTGTATATTGGTGGTACACTTGGTATTGTGGTGCGTTTTGGGATTGAATGAGCACTGTGGTTTCAGAAACCACTACAAATGGCTGTCCCCTTGAAATGGTACACTGTATTCACCGTATTTTTATCATAAGAGCGGGTGCGGTCATTTCTAACCTGAATTTGTGAGGCTTCCGTTGTTATTCACTCCCAGTTATTTTACCCCTACAAAAGCAGTCCGTTATGCTGCTTTATATCGCAAACTGGCATTTGATATATTATTTTAATTCATTGTCATAATCATAAACATACTGGTTTGTTGTGCAAATGGATTTCCTGTTTACTGCACTTGTTATTCTTCTAGTTATTTACCTATAGCGGCTAATTAATCGCACATTAAAAGAAAACGGCTTACTTCTGCATTGCAAAATGAGGTGGATAAGGGTGTAGAGGCGATTTCAGACACAGCCAGAGTGTGGAATTGTTTCTCCTCTAGAGGCACCGTATGGAAAATAAATAAATAAAATATTGAGAACATTAATCTGTAGCCATAAAACAGTTTAAACACATGCCATTTAATGAGCTTTGGTCATTTTGGTTGATAAATGTTAGGCATAGGCTATTCCTTTTGTTTTTCAATGATAAAGGTATCCACAGTGGATAAAGACTTGGAATGAGCTTCTTTCTGTTTGTCTGGCCTTGCTTTCCGACACATCCACAGAAAGATAGAAAACCCTGTCAACAATAAAGTTGATGGGCAAAGCAACTGAATTATCATATTATACAACAGTGCATTCAGGCATATTTTCTCTCTCTCTCTCTCTCTTTTTTTACCTCCAGTATGATTCTGTGTCTAAGAGTAAACCTACCTTGCATTGTATTTGAAATGCAGAATACGTAGAGTATTGGGTAGCTGGTATATCCAGAGCCAAGAAAAACCAAACCCCATGATGTACCCAGCAGACACATGAGGCCCAGCACTGTGCTGGCATCCTTCACCGGTATTTTCTTATGCTTGTTGTCCAATTTCTTTAGCTTAAAGATCTGTCTGGACACTATGAATAGAACTATTGTGTTAAACAGGAATACGATGGTGAAGTAGGAAAAGTTCACACTATACAGGATGAGAGGCTCTGTGATCCAGCATCTGTAGAACATATAATAAACAATGCTGAAAGTTAAAGAAGAGCTAAAAGCAAGGAAAACATGAAAAGGTTAAAGGGATAGTTCACCCAAAAATGAAAATTTGATGTTTATATGCTTACCCCCAGGGCATCCAAGATGTAGGTGACTTTGTTTCTTCAGTAGAACACAAACGAAGATTTTTAACTCAAACCGTTGCAGTCTGTCAGTCCTATAATGTCAGTGGATGGGAATCACGGCTTTGAGAGTCATAAAACATACACAAACAAAACCAAATTAAACCCTGCGGCTCGTGATGATACATTGATGTGTAAAGACACAAAACGATCGGTCTGTGCAAGAAACTGAACAGTATTTATATCGTTTTTTACCTCTGATTTTCACCGCAATGTCTGAACTGTTCTGAGCACGCGCTCAGAACAGTTCAGACATTGCAGTGAAAATCAGAGGTACTTATAAATCTGCTAAAGCAAGAAGAAGAAGAAGAAGACGCCTCACGCGCAGGCTGAAGAAGAAGACGCGAAGGCGCTCAGGAAAGTGAGCGCATTTGTGTTCTACTGAAGTGAGCGTTTGTGTTCTACTGAAGAAACAAAGTCACCTACATCTTGGATGCCCTGGGGGTAAGCAGATAAACATCAAATTTTCATTTTTGGGTGAACTATCCCTTTAAGTTATAATATGAGGACTCACACTGGATTTGTTGCATTCGAATTTGATATGGTCACATTTATGGCACCATAGAATGGATCGGTGAGTTGCTGAACTGACAGCAAACTTCCAACAAGAACAGCAGGGACTCCTGTTAAGAGGAAAAGACTGCAGGATGAGCAAATCTACACTTTAATCATCATTTCTTAATGTTTCTAGTATTATAGCATCATGTCTCTTTTTTGAGCCTATATTTTGTAATACTTAACATGCAAACTGTCATTGTTAACCCTGTTAACCCTTTTTTTTTTTCAAATGTGGTCCTTTTCTGAGTTTCAAAAGACATGATATAGGAAGAACGTATCAGAGTTATAAAGCAAGTTCGGACCTTAATTATGAAATAGAGATTGTGACGAGTGGGGTGGGGCCGAGAGCCGTGGGAACGGAGCAAGGCCGGTGGAGTAAGTGATAATGCACGACACCTGCGCCACTCACCAGTCTCGAGCTTCATAAATACTGTGAATAGTATGGAAATACATGGTTCTCGTCGTTTAAAGCACATAGGGCGTCCTTATGGATCACTATTGGAGTCTGGACTTTGTAGAAGAGACACAGAGGAGACGAATTGTTGAATAAAGTCGTTATTTTTGTTTTCTTCGTGTACAAAAAATATTCTCGTCGCTTCATAACATTACGGTTGAACCACTGATGGCAGATGGACTATTCTGACGATGTCTTTCATACTTTTCTGGACCTTGACAGTGTAATTTACTTGGCAGTCAATGGGACAGTCACAAGCCTCCCGGTTTTCATCCAAAATATCTTAAATTGTGTTCCGAAGACGAACGAAGCTTTTAGGGGTTTGGAACGACATGGGGGTAAGTGATTAATGACAAAATTTTAATTTTGGGGTGGAGTATCCCTTTAACAAAAGGCATCTTTCACCCAGGCTAAAGTTAACACAGAAACTTGGATCTGATGGACATCGGATAAGGTGTCTCACTGGCAACATCCATGAAAGATAAGTACACATCATGTACAGCATAACATATAATAAAAATGTCAAGGATCCCCACCCGATGACTGCAGTGAAGAACTGTACCGTCTTCATCTATCTATCTTAACATACTAGTTCTTTTTCTTATTGTTCCCCAGTCACGCAAAAAGCAATTGTAAATTCACGACTGATTATTGGGTATTGAGGCAAGGACCATGGACATGGATTTGGCAATGATCCTGGATTTTTGCTGAACCAAAATCAGAGCGTAACAATTGCTGCATCTCGCTGTGTTCTGCTCACAGCGAAGGAGAAAATGTTCTATGGTGCGGCTAAATGGTGCTGAATATTGGGATCATAACACCTAGTCCTACCATGCAAACTTACAATTACAATAGGGTTTCAGCGCTTTGCGCTTGAACACCTAGATATGCTACAAACACTGCCTCCATTGACTTACAAGTTGATCTATGAGTCTGTTTTTGTAATGTTCCTGTACATTTAGTCTTGATACTCACCCCATCCGATCAGGGACAACTTGACCACGTAGTATTTGATGTATATGTTGAACACTCTGGCCAAAAGAAGGTAGAGGTGCAAGGCTTCAATAGCCATCCAGGTTAAAGAACACAGCAGACTGTAGTGTATAGTCACAGCAATAAAAACACACACTTCTTTCACTGTCATTGTGGCAGCCCACTCGCTGAACATGAAGCTCAGGTTGAGGAGAAACAGAGCACCGCTCAGAGACACGTGGATGCTGTTGGACACTTCTGCCTTTGCGTTCCTGTGAAACACACGAACTGTATATGAATTTTAATGGCGGTTTTTCAAATTTTTACCTGCTTTGATAAATTTATTCGCACAATTTTGGGATCAGTGTAAAGAATAATGTGAATCAAAGTGCAGATTATATACACATTTATATGAAAACAGAAGGAACAGCACCTGTTGAAAATAAACAACAAGACAGAGGAAGCAGAAAAGACCGCAGACAGACCGCAGCCTACATAGCTGATGTACGACAAGATTTCCCAATGCTGTCCATCAATGTTTATCACCTCAACCTATTCAGAGTGTAGGAGGGACAAAGGAAAAGTGGTAGTGAAGGAGGGAATTAAATGAAAACAATATCAGCACAGAATGGTTTCTGCTACCTTACACGTTTAGTAATGGCCTGAATGAATGGCTCAGTACTCACTAGAAGCACAGCAAAAGGGGTCATATGGTCACAGGAGCACTCCACAACATCATCACTGATCTGAGTGGTGTTACAGCCATCCGGCTTCCAGGTGTTACTGCCTAAATATTCCATATTATTAATACATTTTAGCACAAAAAAAATACCAAATGGCAGTTACAGCTTTTGTACTTTTTTTTCTGAGTGTGCACACAGCAGAATTTTCAGTGAATGACTTCAATTTCAGTCAGACTCAGAATATAGTAATATAGACCACTTTTATGGCACTTTTACAGATTTCATGTTCTTTTTAGAGCTTGATACACTACTTGGAAAACAATACATGAAGATTCTTCATAAATTCTTCTTTCATGTTTCACAGAAAAAATAACAGCATATGGGATAAGAACAACATGAGTGTGTGTAAATTATGAGTTTTCATTTTTGAGTGAAATACTGTATTCCTTTAGTTCCCACCCACCTTGTTCATCATAGTATTGACAGGAATATATGTAGCTTTTCTAAGAATATCAACACAAAAACACAAATTATTACAGTTATTTGGAAATTTTAAGAACATTTGTAAAGGTAAGCTTACGGTTGAGTGGTTTGTGTAGTTATTCACTGGAAAATGTATTATAAGTGGATTGGTCAAATTCACATTGTCACGTCCAATAACTTCAACCCGTATGACTGTGGACATTATAGAATTGTTTTTCTTCTGTAAATACACAAACAGACAACATGCAGGTTAATATAATAAAGAGTGAGGGGGTTAAGTTAACAGTTTCAATAGTTTTATAAAACAGTCAGAACAACAAATGAAAAACTTTACATTAAACTGCTGAATGGAATCGTAAATAAATATTGCAACTTTCTGCTTGGCCTCAGGGACATTTTGGAAAGCCTCCACTGGGATAAATGTCTGTATTGTTGGAGCTTTATTAGACACCTTAAAATTAAAAGAAATTAATTAAGTAATTTTGCTGTATCAATCCATATGACTTTGGACATTATAGAAGCATTTCCAGCTGTAAATACACAACCACAGACAACAGGCAGGTTAATATAATATAGAGTGAATGGGTTAAGTTAACCGTTTCAATACTTTTATAAAATAGTCAGAACAACAAATGAACGTTACATGAAACTGCAGCGTGGAATCGTAAATAAATATTGCAACTTTCTGCTTGGCCTCAGGGACATTTTGGAAAGCCTCCACAGGGTTAAATGTCTGTATTGTTGGAGTTGTATTAGACACCTTAAAATGAAAAGAAATGAATTAAGTAATTTAGCTGTAACACTATTAATTCTAATATATATTTTATATGACCTTTTTAAGCAGTGTAAAAAATTCAAGCTGCAAGCTTTTACATAGCTCCAAAGAGAAAGGAAAACTTGAAATCGCATCATATGACCCCTTTAAAGAAAATGATGTCATCTTTTGGACCTTTGGAAGAAGAGTCTTACTTTTGGAGCGGTGATTGGTACAAGACTATTTGGTAAGTTCATCACAACCACAATCAAAGCGAAACCCTCAAAATTGTAGTCAGTGGAATAATTTGTCTTTTCCATAATGCTGTGTATGACTTCTCTCTCTGCTCTGCATAATAATGTAATTAAAAGGGATACAACCAAATCGACACAAATTCATACAGTTTGTTAAGATCTTAAACACAAGACAGGTACCTGTTGTAGCTTTTCAAAGTTGTTTCGCTTTTCAGCATTTCAGGGCAGTCATTTGCAATACTTGGAAAGTTTGTTGGTAATAAATCTTTTTGATCACTTGAAGTGCAAACAGCTCTGAAGTTGTCCATTTCTTTGTTACAACAGAAGATTTCGGATTTAACAGACTCAGATGCTGGATTTGGTACTAAAATAGATGAGGAAAAAATACTGTTAAGTAATCAGACACTTGTCTTTTTTTCACACTTAGGTCTGTTAGACATTCTCTTTAACTCTTTAATTCACTAATTATTAAACCACAAAAAATATATCATAATGTTTATTTTGATTTCATTTTTACAAGAAAAAATGAAAACTGATTAGCTTGAAATGAACAAAATTAATTTGTTGTAATGAACTAAAGAATTAAAACTTTTTTTTTTAAATTTTGGAATACTTAAGATTTTAATGTTTTTGAAAGATGCCTCGTGTGCTCACCAGGGCTGCATTTATTTAATCAAAACTACAGTAATATTGTGAAATATTATTACAATGTGACTGTTTTCTATTTTAATATATTTTAAAATGCAATTTATATCTCTGCAAAGCTGAATTTTCAACATCATTACTACAGTCTTCAGTGTCACATGATCCTTCAGAAATCATTCTAATATGCTGATTTACTGTAGTTATTAATTATTATTGGTGCTCAATTTTTTCTTATTAACGTTGAAAACAGTATTTGCTGGATCCTACCTGTGGAAACCAGGATTTTTTTCGGGATTCTTTGATGATAGAACGTTTTGTAACATAAATATCTTTATCTTTACTGTCACTTTTGATCAATTTAATGTGTCCTTGCTAAATTAAAGCATTCATTATTATTATTATTATTTTTATTTTTTTTATCTTACTTACTCCAAACTTTTGAATGGTAGTGTATCACGGTTGTCAAAAATATTAAGCTGCAAAAAACTTTTTTTCCAACATTGATAATAATGAGAAATGTTTCTTGAGCAGCAAATCAGCATATTAGAAACATTTCTGAAGGATCATGTGACACTGAAGACTGGATAATGATGCTGAAAATTCAGCTCTGTCATCACAGAAATAAATTAATATATATGTTAAAATATATTACAACAGAAAATTGTTATTTTAAATAGTTATAATATTTCAAAAATTACAGTTTTATTTTAATCAAATAAATGCAGCCTTGGTGAGCATAAGAGACTTCTTTCAAATACACTAAAAAAATTCAAAACTTTTAACCAGTCATGTACATACATGTTTACAAAACTGTGGATCATGAACGTGCAGACCTAATGCAAATAAATTTTCTCATGGTGATGGGCAAAAAACAGTATCTCACTACTGTCTCTAATACTAAGATCTAAAATACAAGTCACAGAAATAGTCTGATTTGAGGAGGGTTTCAGGAACTTACAAGGTAGCGAGCAGTTGGTCTCAGATATTGAGTCATTATTTTGCATGACATCGTTGGTATTTGTATTTTCTCCATCCACTCCATGGATTATGAGCAGAAGCAGCAGGAGTGTCATATCTGTCATAGCTCTGTGGAAAAAATGAGAATACAGACATTCATTTAATGAAATACAAAAAGACAAATCAATTCCAACATATTGAATGCACAATAAAGAATGCATATAATACAAAAGGTTTCATCATCTCATTGTTAAAATAGTTTATACAAATACTTAATAATATATACAGTACTACTAAAATAAAACATACTGTATGTAGGCTATATAAGTCTAATATACGTATAATCAAAACATATAAATATTTACAATAATTTTAATAATTATGTATAATACATAACCTAGATGTGCTCTTTCTTCTCTTACCTTGCTGTTTCTCTAGTCATCAAGGATGAAGTTGTGACAGCTCTGTGGAAAGTTTGCAGTTCACACACCAAGAAATGAATAGCCAAAATCAAATTATGTGGCTTCAGTCACACTCACTGAGCTCTACTGATGACAGAACACAATGACAAGCCTTGTCATCACATTTGGTTTTCAACAATACAGTTAACATACATAGCATACAAACATACAAAATTGCAAAGGCCAGCATAAAAGGCCTGTTTTACTGTTTCAAATGACATTGACTGACATGATATGATTAAATCCTCAGCACTACTAAATGGTACTGTTGTTTCTTAAAGGTTAAGAGTAACTTACTGCCACTTTTTGATCATTTTGATGTTACCTAGTCAGTTTAAATTATATTGCATTATTACAAATATTCAAGTCTCTATTGCAGATAAACAAAGCAGTTTTGTTTATACTACGGTAAAGAAAAAACGAAAAAATAAAACTTTGTACTTACAAATTTTATTTATGCATTATTCATTATTCCATTTTAAATATGTAGTTGAACATTTTTCAGATATCCTTATGTTTTAGATGGGGATCATTGGGTTGCGTAGGATATGCGGGTGTTATAAAATGTAAAAAAGCAATTTTGCAAGAAAAATTATACGACAATGAAATTATATGAAAAAAATATTGTTTCTCTATAAAAATATATATATATTTTTAAATTTATGTACCATGCAATGCTAAATAACATTTTAATTCTCTATATAAAGATAAAAGAGACAACAACTTCCTTCCAAAGACTTGATTTGAATAAATGAGGTCACAGAGCAAACTGTAATTTTAGCACAGCTTAGGAAACTAACAAACATGTAAATAAATACTTGAGAATACTTAATGAAACTAAGGTATTTAGAAAATGTAGCCAATTTTATTTCATGCTATAGCAATAAATTTTGTTTAACAGCTAAATGGGGATAACAATAGACTTATAAGTAGAATATGTTTTGTGCCACATAAAATAAATGTAGTATTTTACAACATTTCAGCTGTACTAAGAAATAATAATAATAATACAAATAATAAAAAAAACCTTCAAGAATTGATGTTGAAAATGTGTTACAATGCGTGTTCCCTATCAAGTTCGGTCTCTCGACACTGCGTAGCTTACACTTAGGGGTTAACCTCCTCCAAAATAGTGAAGCCTGATTGCATCGCGACGGTAAATTTTACCGGCCAATGACGCTCAAGCGCTCGAGCTAGGGACGGAGCTACCCACTATATACAGTAGGTCGGCGCTCAGCGTCATTACCTCAGAATCTTTCTCCTTCACGAAGCAAGTACAGAAGACTTCTACTCATCGCTATTTTTTTCTCGCCGTTGACAACACCCTAAGAGAACGCCGTTCGCTTCAAGTTCCTCTTTGGCGATCCGGCAAGAAGACAGGATGTCCCTTAAGGAGTGCTGTGCGTGCGGGGCCCAGATTGAGCTCCCTGACATACACGACGCGTGTGACTTCTGTCTGGGCCGAGCCCACACAGAGGCCGCACTGGATAGGTCTGATTGTCCTGCCTGTGAAGAGATGACAGTCAAAGCCCTTCATGCCAAGATTTCCGTGATCCTGAACTGCGCGCTGGCTAATCCCTTGTCTCTGCCTCCCATCACCGTCGAGCCGTGGGAGGGAAGGCCAAGGCAGCCACGTGCAGTAGGCCTCTCTGATGAACGCATGTCGACTCAGTTCCTGCATGCTTATCGCTCAAGAGAGCCACCTGTTTCTTACACTGAGCCCAGCCTCCGCCCCTCAGATGACACGTGGGACCTGGTCTCGTTTGGTGTGGCAGAGGATGAAGTGGATGACGACGCAATGTCGACTGCAGCCTCTGGTTCGGATGACTGGTCGGCCTGCATGGAGTCGGAGGCCTCCCACAGCGAGGTGCGCAAGCCCCTGGCTCAGATTGATGAAGAGTTGGTGAAAATCCTGCCTGAGGCTGTACAGGATTTGGGTCTTGATTGGTTGCCCACTGAGCAACCAGCCAAGAACAGGTTGGACATGCGGTATATGCAGTCTGGCCGCCAGGTTGCCGCCCCCCAGAGACCTGCTTCCTTTTTCCCTGAGGTCAACGAGGAGAATATCGTGGTCTTGGCACTCTCCCTATTCGGCCCGAGTCCAAGCCGCGGGATCGTGTATGCTCTCCTC